ACACACACACACACACACACATATATATTCATAGATTTTCATGGGTACAGGTATGCAGGTCTTGGCGTGTTTGGGTCTTTTCCCATGTAAGGTTGAGAGCATCTTGGCAATGTTTCAATGAGGTCCCACTCGCCATCTTCAGGCTGGTGCTTTCGGTTTCATGCTTGTGCGAGCAAAGCGTGATTGGAGCTGCCGTCTCCCTATATATACTGATGGGGAGGTTGGCTGTGTTGTCATTTCTTGATTGGTTGATCACCCAGGTCATTACGACCCAAAAGATTACAGCACAAGACCCAGGATGTCAAAACAATAGAACCCAGGAGGTCATCACACAGCCCATTACCCAGGTCGTTACAACACAGGAGGCTGATAGACACACAGCCAATACTTCAGCCACACGTGTTCCTCTGAAAAAGCCAACCAATCTGCAAACATCAACTCCATCAACCAATCAAGAAATGATAACACAACTGTTGTTGTAGAAATGGAAACATGATGTATAATAAAGGAAATGTATAATAAAAAATATTTTTTTAAAAAAAGTGGGCTTTAGGTAGCCAGGCCTACTATGGGGGCATGTCAGCAAAGTCTATTTGTATCATCTGGAAATAATATCTTGCTCTACACAATCAGGAGTAATGTGGCTTAGTCTTCTTCCTTTGTTGTGAGCTAAATAAACTACACAATTGAGAACTATCTCCTTTCCCCCATACTAATTCATTTACCTGTCCAATTTTCCTTAAACCTCTGGGCTAATGCTTCTGCTCCTTCATGACCTTGGTTGTAGTTGTAGTTCGTTTGCTTGAGCTGAAATGGGGAGGGGGCTCAGTGCTATCAGCTTGTATATTAATGTCCTGCCTCACCCCTTGCACTCTTCCCCCTCTGTGATGATATTAACCTACATTTACATCAGTGGTGGGATTCAAATTCTTCAACTACCTGTTCTGTGGGCGTGGCTTGGTGGGTGTGGCTTGGTGGGCATGGCAGGGAAAGGATACTGCAAAATCCCATTCCCTCCCCACCCCACTGACCTGCTTTCCAGCTCCGTTCTCCTGTGCAGGGCAACCAAAGAAGACCCAGCCAATCAGCTGGGACTCAGGAGACAGAGAATAGATGGGGGCAGGGCCAATCAGAGGTGGCATTTGCCGGTTCTCTGAACTACTCAAAACTTCCGCTACTTGTTCTTCAGAACTGGTCAGAACCTGCTGAATACCACCTCTGATTTGCATCCACAGTGGAACAACTTGCCTTAAGAAGTTGTGAATGCTCCTTCACTGGAAATTTTTAAGAAGAGACTGGACAACCATTGGACTGAAATGGTAGAGGATTTGAAATGGTAGAGACCCAAGGTCCCTTCCAACTTTGCTATTCTGTTATAGCAGTTTCATCACAATAAAAGTTAAAGTCAACATTAAAATGGGGAATATCTTCAAGATCCTCAATAGCTTTTTTCTGCTATTGTGAAAAACAAGTTAAGTACAGTACTATGTGGTGGGAGACAGGGAAAAGTCATCTGGATTTTTAAGATTTAATTCACCAGTTGTGCCAATATGAAGTATCCAATAAACTGTTCTTTGATGAACCTGCCTGCCTTGGAGTTCTGTTTTCTATGGGTGCATTACTTGGAACATTGACAGCTGAGATTTTGACTCCAATAGTGCCAGGAATTCCATTTGCTGATAATTTACATTAAAATAATTGAACTTTTAGAGAACCCCACCCTCCAAAAATGTTTCTGGCATATCAACAAGATTCACATTGCATAAGCATCATGTTTCAAATATTTAGGGTGTGGCATTTCAGGCCTCAGGTAGGCTAAAGGCACAGACAGATGTGATGCTGTGACTTCTCAAAGAACTAAGCAGCTATATTGCAATTCTACTGGACAAGGATGTGGGTCTTCCAACTGCCCTTTAATTATTTCAAGCAAAATCATTACCAAAGCTCATATATGGAGGACAGCTTGGATCATTTTCTATGTCTGACCCATTGAGATATTTTGAGAGCACAAATTCCTCTATCTCCCATTTATACATTTCTTCTGGTTGTAAGATGCTCTTTTGTATTCAACTCTGGCCTCAGAAGGATAATGTAGCATTTGGGAATGAAGATGCAGCCCAACATACCAGCACTAGAGGCCAAGATGGAGAAGACCTGCACAGCCACCATATACTTTCCCTTGGTGCTCAGGTAGGTGGGCACAAAAGACACCCAGACACTGCAGAAGACCAGCATGCTGAAGGTGATCAGCTTGGCTTCATTGAAGGTCCCAGGGAGATTCCTGGCAAAGAAAACCACCAAGAAGCAGATGGCAGCCAAGAGGCCCATGTAGCTGAGTGTGATGTAGAACATGATAACAGAGCTTTCATTGCATTGCAGGATGATCAATCCAGGCTGTGAGTGGAAGTCAGAGTCAGGGAATGGGGGAGAAATTAAAAGCCAGATGGAGCAGATGACAATTTGGACAGCAGAACAAGAAAGGATAATATAATTGGCTAAGCTCTTCCCCAACCATCTCTTCACTCTGTTTCCTGGTTTTGTGGCCAAGAAAGCCAGCACCACTGTGATGGTTTTGGCCAAGAGAGAAGAAATGGCAACTGAGAAGATGATGCTGAACACTGTTTGTCGGAGAAGGCAGGTGATTTTCCTTGGTTGACCAATGAAGAGAAGAGGAGACAAGAAGCAATGCAGGAGGGAGACTAGGAGGATATAAGAGAGGTCCCGGTTGTTGGCTTTGACAATGGGAGTTTCTAGGTAGTTAATGAACAGGATTAACACAAAGCCTGTGATTAGGAAAACAAATAGGGCAAAGGAGACCAGGATGATGCCCAGATGTTCTTCATAAGACAGGAAGATTATAACTTTGGGGATACATTGGATTCTGTCCTCATTTGGATATTTTTCATCTGGACACTCAGTGCATTTTTCCATATCTGAAAGAAATCCAAAAGCAGCATTTCTTTAATTCTTCTTTTAATTCTTTTTTAAAAATTCATTTCTTCACTTCTCCTGTCCTTTTGCCTTTCAAGAGATGACTTCTTGGGACAACAACCATTATCAGCTGCATTTTCCAAGAGGCATTCCTGCAGGAAGAAGCTCAGAAGAATAGCATTTTCTTAAAACAAAGCTATATTTTAATAGTATATACCAGTGGTGGATAACCTTTTTGGGCTCCTGTGCCAAAAATTGTGCATGCTCTGGCACACACATGCTCGCATGCCAGCACCCAGAAGGTGACTCCTCACTCCCCCTGCACATGTGCGTGCAATCCCCCAATGCTCCTCCATGCCGCCTCCACTACCACCCCTTTATCTGCACTGCACCTCACAGCTGATTTTCAGCAGGTTTGAGGCCTTTTTCAGCCTCCCAGAGGCTTGAAAAAAAGCCTCTGCAGGCTTTGCAGGATGAACAATAGGCCCATTTTGTCACTTCCAGTATTACAGGAAGTGACAAAACGGGCCTATTCGTCCTGCAGAGGCTTTTTTTCAAGCCTCTGGGAGGCCGAAAAAGGCCTCAAACCAGCCGACAATCAGTTGTGAGGCATGCGCATGCGCAGTGAGGTAAGTTTGCCTTGCAGCTCGCGTGCCGGCAGAAATGGCTCTGTGTGCCACCTGTGGCAAGCGTGCCATAGGTTCGCCATCACGGGTATATACAATTGGAAGAAGTCCTAGGGCCTAAATGATTTGTTGTGTAATTTGCAGAACCTACATAGGGACCTACATTATCAGAGGTAAATAATGAATCAAGTAAACTTCCTGGATCCTGCCAGATGGCACTTTTTAATATACTGAACTCAGAGGATGTCTATCTTTTAAAATCTAGTGTCAACTCTGGCTGAACCCATCTTTTGCTGCCTCATAGTTGCCACAAGCCCTGAGAGGGGGAAGGGCAGGGAGAAGTAGATATACCGGCTTGGCTGACAAAACAAAAGGTTTTCTTGTGGGAACCAAGGTCATCTGAACAAGTGACTGTGTGAAGAAGAAAGGAGTGACCAAGCAATCTGCCAGCCCGGCTATAGGACAATATGACCAATGGCATCGGGGGGGGGGGGCTTTTACTTTTTAAACTAGGGAAAACTCGTGGGAACTTCAGACTTGGTTTTCACTGGCTGTGCTGATATGATGTACCCAATAAACATGTTCTTTGAGGAATCTCCCTGCCTCGGAGTTCTGCTTTCAATGGGTGCATTACTCGGAATGCTGATACCTAGTGGAATGAAAGAGAAAGCTACTCCTGCAAATAATCGGGAATGGCTAGTGGTAATAGGGGTATAATCCCATAAGTATCCATACCACCTTATTGTGGAGTAGCAATACTTTCTCACTGATCCTCATGCAAAGGTCTATGTATAGTGCATTGCAATAATCCTTCCAGGAAATGGACCTAAGGTGATTCCTCAAGTTTCAAAGAACTCAGATATTTCTAGAGAGGTAAATGTGAATGGGCACACCCAAAATAAAAAGCAGAAGAGATATTTTCTCTGGTAGTAGAAAAGCTTGCCCAATCTGCCACCCGCTCCAATCTTTTTCTAGAACCTCACTCAATGTCCTTTTACTATCCCTCCCTTTAAACAGGAAATTGTACACCTTGAAGATAAACCGGTTGTGCTTCAAGCTGTCTTAACCTGAGAGTTGTCTGAATAAATGCATATCCACAAGGCCTGTCCTTTTCTCTGGCATCACCCACCTTCCTGAGTGGAGAAGGTCCCCTCTGGACAAGGAATACAGTCATAGCAGCAATCTGGCTCTCCTTCTCGCTTCTGCTTGACAAATCCAGGATGACAACTTTCCACACATTGGGACTGAGGAAAAGACTAAGCAGAAAAACAAGGAGTGCCAAAGAAGATTAATTGGAACTTAGCATCCATGGAAAATGAAAGTGGAAGTAGTCATGAACAGTAACCAATCAATCAATCAGAATACAGCTGAAAGGGATTTGGGAGGTCTTCTAGTCCAACCCCTTGCTCAAGCACGAGACCCTATACCAGTGTTGGTGAACCTTTTCGGCACTGAGTGCCAAAATGGGAGCATGCACGTGCATATGCACCAGCCACCTTGTCTTCCATTTTCTGATGTGCATACGCACAAGAGGAGAAGCTGGCCAGTGTGCATGCATGCACCAGAAACTGGAAGAGCAGCCACCCGGTACACATTAGCACACAGATACACACCAGCCAGTTGGACTTCACACGTGCATGCATGCCAGAAACTGGAAGACCAGGTGCGCATGCACATGCCAGAAACCAGAAGATCACCTTCCTGGTGTACACATGCGCACTGGGTAGCTGATCTTCTGGTTTCTGGTGCTCCCACACACATGAAGAACAGCTGGCGAACACGTTGGAACCCCGAAGAGCAATGGATGATGGCTCACATGCCTAGAGAGATGGCTCTGTGTACCACTTCCGGCACGCATGGCATAGGTTTGCCATTATGGTGTTATACTATTTCAGACAGGTGTCCATCCACTCTTTTCTCAAAAACCTCCAGTGATGAAAGACCCACAACTTCTGAAGGAAAGCTGTTCCAATGGTGAATTGTCCTCACTGTTAGGAAGTTTCTCCTTAATTCCAGGTTGCTTTTCTCCTTGATTAGTTTCCATCCATTGTTTCTTGTCCTGCCCTCAGGTGCTTTGGAGAATAAATTGACCCCCTCCTCTTTGTGGTAGCCTCTCAAATACTGGAATACTGCTATCATGTCCCCCCAGTCCTTCTTTTCTCTAGACTAGAATAGATTAGAATAACAGATTTGGAAGGGACCTTGGAGGTCTTCTAGTGCAACCCTCTGCCTAGGCAGGAAACCCTACACTACTTCAAACAAATGGTTATCCAACATCTTTTTAAAAATGTCCAGTGTTGGAGCATTCACAACTTCTGAAGGCAAATTGTTCCACTGATTAATTGTTCTAACTGTTAGGAAATTTCTCCTTACTTCTACGTTGCTTCTCTCCTTGATTAGTTCCCACCCATTGCTTCTTGTCCTGCCCTCAAGTGCTTTGGATAATAGTTTGACTCCCTCTTCTTTCTGGCAGCCCCTGAGATATTGGAACACTGCTATCATGTCTCCCTTAGTCTTTCTTTTCAGTAGAGTAGACATACCCAGTGGCTGCAACCGTTCTTCATATGTTTTAGCCTCCAGTCCCTTAATCATCCTTGTTGCTCTTCTCTGTACTCTTTCCAGAGTCTCAACATCTTTTTTACATCGTGGAGACCAAAACTGGATGTCATATTCCAAGTATGGCCTTTCCAAGGCATTATAAAGTGATATTAATACTTCATGTGATCTTGATTCTATCCCTCTGTTTATGCAACCTAGAACTGTGTTGGCTTTTTTGGCAGCTGCTGCACACGACTGGCTCATATTTAAATGGTTGTCCACTAGGATTCCAAGATCTCTCTCACAGTTACTACTATTGAGCAAGGTACCACATAAACTGTACCCATGCATTTGATTTTTCTTGCCTAAATGTAGAACCTTACTTTTTTCACCATTGAATTTCATTTTGTTAGATAGCACTCAATGTTTAAGTCTGTCAAAATCCTTCTGTATCTTAAGCCTATCTTCTGGAGTGTTGGGTATTCCTGCCAGCTTGGTGTCATCTGCAAATTTGAGGAGTTCCCCATTTATCCCCTTGTCCAAGTCATTGATGAAGATGTTGAAGAGTACTGGGCCTAAAACAGAGCCTTGGCGTACTTCACTGCATAATTCCCTCCATGTAGATGCAGTTCCATTGAGGACTACACATTCAGTGCAGTTGGTCAGCCAGTTATGAATCCATCTGGTGGTGATGCTGTCTAACCCACATTTTTCTATTTTATCTAGTAATAGGTTATGGTCCCACTTTATCAAATGCCTTACTGAAGTCCAAGTAAATTATATCAACAGCATTCCTCTGGTCCACTAATTTTGTCACTTTGTCAAAGAATGCAATAAGATTAGTCTGGTATGATCTAATTTAATTTAATTCTCACTGAAGTTAATCCACCTTGGTGACTAGACTCAGCCCACTTGAAATGGGTCCTAATCTTTGGGGGGGGGGGGGAGAAAACACTGCAAATGTTTTACCCACTTTATTGTAGAACTTTAGGCTTGAGAAAGCCTTTTGGAAGATAGTGAGTCTCTGTCTTTCAAAAAGTCCCAGTGCCATGTTGATGTTGTCCTTGTTCTTAGGAAGAATCACCAAGCCCATGACTGCCAGAACTGCTAATACATCTCCATTTTGGTCCAAGTACAGTTTTACATGGGAAAAATTGCAATATTCATTCTTCTTCAGAAATGGATGAAACTAGAATGGAATCAACCAGGAATTTAAAAAGCAGAAAAGTTGGTTTCCTATCCCACATGGTCTTTTCACATTTGATTTTTTTTCTTGTACAGTTGCCTAACTTCCAAATATGCTTCATTAGGAGAACAATTATTATCGCCCTCTTCATAAGTGAAGAAAAAATGTTCAGCAAGATTTATCAATTACATACTGACAAAATATATATCGAGATAATATAATTTACACAATTGATTAGTTATAGGGAACATTCTAGAGCCAAAAATTATTCAAATTCAATAAATTATTCAAATAAATGAGAAATTATTCAAACACTCCTTGAAAACAAGATGATTTCCTGAACGTATGGATTTTTCAAGGAAAAATATGTCAGGTTAGTTTTTTCCCTGGTACACCAAAAATGGAAATTTATTTTATTTATTTATTTGATTTGTCAATCTCTTACAAGATACGGGTATAAGAATAAACATAGTTTTGAATACATGAGATGGATACTTGTAAGAAAAATAAAAAGAAACAATAGGACAGGGATGATAGGCACGATTAGTGCACTTATGCATGACCCCCTACAGGCCTCTTAGGAAGGGGGTGACAGGCAAGAAGATTCAGTATTTACAGAGTTAATTCCTTTAAGCAGACAATGTTCTTGGCATTATCACAAACGCTGCCTGCCAAGTCCGACAAGATAACCAGAAACATTAATCACTAAAGCTTTCAAGAAACTAAATACACCGAGGCCTGACAGAAAAAATAACACTTTGTCCCGTACAGAGTTTCCAGAGAAAACACATCCACTTTTATCCCCCGTGGGGTGTGTCTCCATGACTCAGCTCACTCTCTGATTTGTCCACGCCTCCTACACTGCAACTAACACTTCTTCCTGTGATGCTGCCTAGCATCAAGCCAACCTTCGTCTACTTGATTCCCTGTCAGAGGCTGCTCCGATATGCCCTCCTCCTCCTGATTAGTCTCAGGCTGTCCCTCTCGGTTATCTGCTGAAACCTGAGGTATTATCTGGGAGGAAGGCATTGCCGAAGAGGAAGGTCCTGAGGAGGAAGGCATTCCCAATTCCTCCTCCTCATCTTCCGAGTCCTCTTCCTCTAACAATGCAGGCTCAGGACTCAGAGCCACAACATACATACATACATACATACATACATACATACATACATACATACGTACGTACGTACGTATGTATG